TTTAGGTATTTTTTTAGACGTAGAATACATTCGTAGACCGGGTCGACTTATCCGTTTTAAATTTAGAATATTGCTAAAGGTCCTTTTTTTAGTCTTGATATGTTGCAGAGTTAAAACTAAAAAATTCTTGTTGTTTTCTCGATGTTTTCTCACACTTTCAATAAAACCTTCTTTTAAAAGGAGTTTTACAATCTTTTCGTTAATATTACTGGATGGGATTCGAACCATTCTTTTTCGATCCATATCAGCATTCCGTATAGAAGTTATTATCTCAGCAATAGTGTCCCTACCCATGATAAACTCTAATTATGGGACTCAAAAATTTTATATTCTCAACGTGTTTTTTTTATTGTCTATGGATTATTGTGTTTATCTTACTTTAATTTTAATCTTAAAATTATATACGTGAGACAGATTCTACTCCATTTTTTTTTTTGAATTTTTTTTTATAATACCTCAGGAGCTAATGAAACTATTTTAGTAAAATTTAATTGTCTCAACTCCCGGGGGATTGGACCAAAAATTCTGGTCCCTTTTGGATTTCCTTCTTTATCAATAACAACTGCGGCATTATCATCATATCGTATTATTATCCCGTTGCCGCGTTTTAGTTCTTTACAGGTACGCACGATTACGGCTCTAACGACTTCAGATCTTTGTAGAGGCATATTAGGTACAGCTTCTTTGATAACAGCAACAATAATGTCACCAATATAAGCATATCGACGATTGCTAGCTCCTATTATTCGAATACACATCAATTTTCGAGCCCCGCTGTTATCTGCTACATTTAAAAGGGTTTGGGATTGAATCATAGCATTTTTTTTTATTCTTTTCTTTCACAATGCAAAGGGCGAAGAAAAAAAGAAATATTTTTTGTCCACAAACATAAAACGAAACTTATTTTTTTGTTTTTGTTTCATTCTTAAGATTCTTTGGGGTAGTTTTAGAGTGATATTTTCTATTCTATCTCCGAAATAATGAATTGAGTTCGTATCGGCATTTTCGATGCTGCTATTGAAATAGCTTTTCTGGCAATATTTTTTGTTACTCCACCCATTTCAAAAAGGATCCGACCGGGTTTAACAACAGCAACCCAATATTCAGGGGATCCTTTTCCTGAACCCATACGTGTTTCTGCGGGTCGTACAGTAACTGGTTTATCAGGAAATATACGTACCCATATTTTTCCTCCACGACGTGCATTTCGTGTCATTGCCCGTCGGCCGGCTTCTATTTGTCTAGATGTGATCCAAGCGGGTTCAAGTGCTTGAAGCGCATATTTACCGAAACAGATATGATTACCTCGAGAAGCTATTCCCTTCATTCTTCCTCTATGTTGTTTACGGAATCTGGTTCTTTTGGGGTTATAGTTGATGGATTTTTATTTATTACATCTCTACTACAGAACCGGACGTGAGAGTTTCTTCTCATCCAGCTCCTCGCGAATTACGAATAAAGGATTTACAAAATGAGCTTTTGACTAAAATTGATTAATCATAGTGAAGATATCTAAATCTTCAATCTAAAGATAGATACTAAGATAAATACTACAAATCTAAATATAGATAATAAGATCTATAATAATAATATGGACTGAGAAGTCCAAATAATATTTAGGAATTGAGTGATATTTTTTTTCAATCTATTTGAAATAAAATGACTTATTCTACACTTTTTTCATGATTCTCTGAGTCTAACTAATCCTTCTTTTTGACTATTCTTGAATATTGTCTTTATATTGCTTTTTGATTCTTTTGCAAAAAGTTTTCGCGGGCGAATATTGACTCTGTCAATTTAGATTTCATTTCTAGGACGAGCCTGTTACATCTTCTAGCTACTATCTAGAAATCAAATAATTTAACATTGGTTTATTTCGCCATCCCAGCCAGTGAATATTTAAGATTTTTTTTATTTAATCTTAAATTGAATCTTTTTTATTCATAAGTTCCGTCGTCCCCATCACTTCTTACTTAATGGTTAGGTCCTAATTTTACAATGGAGCTCAAATAGTAATATATGAATAATTTGAGTCTTGAGCCATTTTTCTTAGTCTTTATTGGCTTTAAGCTCTTTACTTTAAATTTATCTAATAATTATCTATTCTATAATTTAATTTCTATAATAAGAGTATATTGTTTTTTATTATTGAATATTCTTAGATTTTTTATTCTATTTCAAATACTTGAATATGCAGAATTTAAGTATTAATGCTTCATTACATTGCCTATTTTGTTAGACCCTACATATTGGAATTTTCAATCATTGAGCTTATTTTTCTTCCTTTCTCTCTCCCTTCCAATTATCTACATCTTTTTTATATCTTGCTTGGCAACTTCAATAATATTTGAATAATTTTTGTTTATGCAAATAAATGGCAATTGCTACAACGATATGAGCGCTAATCATATCATGACTGGTTATTTAGATCCAGATAATGCGAAATTGATGAGTTAGTTATTAGGTAATTTCTTCTCGAGTGAGTAGTTGTTACTTTGGGTTTGGTTTCATGCTAACCTTAAAAAATGAACGAGTCGCACACTAAGCATAGCAATGATATTTTTATTAAAAAATAAATAAAATTTTTATTCAACCTTATAGAATTCATTATTATCAATTAGAAATCAATTAGAACTGTTCCTGCTCATTACACAAAATAATTTGTGAAATGGGCCGCTTGGTATTACAGGTAAAAAGAATGAATAAAATTTTATTGAGCTTCATCAAAAAATATCCAAATTTTTATGCCTAAAACCCCGTAGATAGTTCGAACTGAATAACAACAATAATCCATTTTAGCTTGAATAGTTTGTCGGGGAACTCTTCCTTCTCTTATCCATTCCACACGTGCAATTTCCTTTCCGTCAAGGCGTCCCGCAATTTGTACTTGAATTCCTTTTGTATCTGCTTGTTCAGCTAATTCAATAGCTTTTTTCATTGCTTTTCGAAAGGAAACTCTATTCTTTAATTGTCCAGCTATAAATTCGGCAAGAATATTAGGATTTCCATACGGTTTTTCAATTTTTGTGATAGCAATATTCAGTTTTCGGTTTACAAAATTTAATTTTTTTTGTAGAGCTTTTTGTAATTCTTCAACTCCCTGTGGGCTATTTTCCATAAATATTTTTGGAAATCCCATATATATTATGACTTGGATTAGATCGAGTCTTTTTTTAATATATATACTTGCAATTCCCTCGGTAGCCGAGGGTTTGATTCTATTTTTTTGTACATAATTTTTGATAAAAGCTCTTATCTTTTGATCTTCTTGCAGATTTTCAGCATACGTTTTTGGTTTTGAAAACCAAAGTGAATAATGGGCCTGGTTTGTACCAAGTCTGAAACCAAGTGGATTTATTTTTTGTCCCATAAATACCTCCTATTCTGGATATCAGAATATGCTTTAGTTCTAGAATTTTTTTTCGCTTGTGGTTTTTTTAGCAAACCGAGCTCCACAGATTCAGAATCATTGAATGAAATATCTTTTAGTACAATACTGATATGGCAGGTCGGTCTTTTTATTGGATAACTACGCCCACGAGCCCGAGGTTTTAATTTTTTTCGAGCAGTCCCCTCATTCACTTCAGCTTTACTAATAACTAAATTTGCTTTATTTGCAGCCATAGTGTAACTAGCATTTGATGCGGCTGAATAAACCAATTTTAAAATTTGATAACTGGCACGATAGGGCATGAGTTCTAATATAATAAGTGTTTCCTCATAGGAACGCCCACGAATTTGATAAATAACTCTTCTTGCTTTATTAGCCGACATAGCTATACGTCGACCTAAAACGTATACTTCTGGGGTTTTTTTATTTAGCATCTGGTACATAAAGTTTGCCTCCTACTAATGACTCATAAGCATCAAGATATTTTTTAGTATTCACATTACCGATGAGATCTATTATCATTTTTTGCATGTCCTCGAAAATTTAAAGTAGTTGCAAATTCTCCCAATTTGTGTCCGACCATATGATCCATTATATAAATAGGGAGATGCTCTTTCCCATTATGAATCGCAATAGTATGACCAATCATTATTGGAATAATAGTAGATCCCCGGGACCAAGTTATTATTATTTCTTTTTCTCCCTTTATGTTAAGTTTCTCAATTTTTTTTAATAAATTCTGAGATACAAAGGGATTTTTTTTTAGTGAACGTGCCACAGTTTACTCCTATAAATTTTATTATTCTTTTATTTTTTTATTTTTCATATAATTGAATGAAGAAATTTAATTTGCTCTATTCTATTAATTTTGATACTATAATATATTATATTAACTGCGATGACGAAGAATGAGCTTCTCACTATATTTATTCCTCTTTCTAGTTTTTCTTCCAAGTGCGGGATAACCCCAAGGGGTTGTAGGTTTTTTTCTCCCAATAGGGGCTCTACCCTCACCGCCCCCATGTGGATGGTCTACGGGGTTCATAGCTACTCCTCTAACTACAGGACGCTTACCTAGCCATCGTTTAGCTCCAGCTCTACCCAAATTTTTTTGGTTGAACCCAACATTTCCGACTTGTCCGATTGTTGCGGAGCAATTTTGGGATATAAAACGGACCTCGCCAGAAGGTAATTTTAATGTGGCTGATTTACCCTCTTTTGCAATCAGTTTCGCCATTGCACCCGCTGCTCGAGCTAATTGTCCACCCCTTCCACGTGTGATTTCTAGGTTATGTATAGTCGTGCCTAAGGGGATTTCGGTCAAAGGTAGGGTATTTCCAATTTTGATTGAAACATCTGTACCAGAAACAATCGTATCTCCAATTTGAGCCCCTCTCGGATGTAAAATATACTTCTTCTCACCAGTCCGATAATGTATTAGACAAATGTTTGCATTTCTATTAGGGTCATATTCTATGGTTATGATTCTACCATATAGGTCTTTTTCATTCCGTCGAAAGTCTATTTTACGGTATAGGCGCTTATGACCCCCCCCCCCTATGCCTTGATGTAATGATTCCTCTAGCATTACGACCTTTACCACAATGATGCTTTCCAGAGAGCAAATTTTTCCTTCGAGCAAATTTTGGGCTGTTTACGGTTTCGCTCGGGTTATCAGTTTTGTATAATTTTATTCCCATGATATTAATGATTTTTATTTTGGATTGAAAGTTTATTTGTTTGGAGGCATACGTCTAATTCTCTGCGGTAGCCATTGCATTATATGTCCTCTAATAGGGAGGGCCTACCATTATGTGACCCTTTGCCAGAAGCGTAGCACTACTCAAAGTTTATGACGTGGACATAAAAAAACTATTTATTATTTTTTAATATTTTAATAACTAAATCCGTTTTTCTGTAAATACTATATCTTTTATTCCATCCCGAATTTGAGTATTAGTTTAAGTTGAAACTAGTTAGTTCGAGTAAAGAATGTTTTTGTGAATAAGTGTTCCTATATTAAGTGTTCCTATATATATATATAGATATATATATATATCTAATATAGATATATATTCTCTATATGTATTGGTATCCTAGAATTATCTATTATGATATATGAAAATGATATATGAAATGGAAATAGTCAAAATAAAATCTATCTAGGAACATATATCTTATATGATATTTGATTGATTTGATATGGACAAATTTATCTAGGAGCATATATATCTTATATGATATTTGATATGGATTATGAAGGAAATGCTCAAAGTAGATCTATGTTAATATATATCATATAGCCTAAAATATCACAAAAAGAAGAATTGGAGGGTCAATAATATTTTGTTTTGTGTAAATGACTAATAATGTGCATCCAGTAGGAATTGAACCTACGACTTCGCCAATTATGAGTTGGGCGCTTTAACCACTTAGCTATGGATGCTTAAACGAGACCATCATCTATCAAAATTGAAAATTAAAATAGAATAATTATGGCAATTTTTAATCTTGGAATATTTAATTACATTGAATTACAGCAAAAAATGTCGTTTAGATAAAGAATTTATGAAATCTGAAATACTAAACAAAAACTAGATTTCTTTTATCTTCTATATTTCTTTTATCTTCTATATTTAATATTTAATTATATAATATTATATTTATATATAATAATAATATGATATAATAGATATACAATATAGAATACAATAATAAAAGTATTAATACTTTTTAATACTTTATACAA